GTACGCCTCAGTGCACCTGACCTCTTGCATCGTCTACAGTACTGTGCAAAGTACTGTACATGTTTTCTGTCATCTTTGGTTTATATTTCCCATTTTTACCAGAATGGAAATGGAGGAATGGCCCAAGACTGTTGCACAGTACTGTAGCCTCATGTTAAAATATTAATCAGCCATTTTAGTTGCATGAATGCTTATATTAAGACGACAAAATGCACATTACATTCCTGTGTAGGATGAATTCCCTTTTGCAGGGCTAGCTTGAGCTTAAACCCTGTCTGTCTTGCACTTGTGGTTGGTAGGGCTAATATATTGCTCTGTGTGTGTAGGGGTGAAGCCGTTTGCTTGTTCCATGTGTGACATGAGGTTTATTCAGCGTAACCACCTGGAGAGACACAGCCTCACTCATACGGGTATGCGTTCCTCTGCCGAGCCCCTGTTACCCAGAAAAGGCACCGGTGCATGAACAACAAACTCGAGTTTGGATTGTTAAGTCATTTGATGGGATGTTGAACCAGCCTAAAAGAAACTCGCCCCAGTTTTGTGGGGCCCTCTGTGTTGCTTAGATCTGGGCCATGAAATTGAGAAACTCCACTCTGATCTACACATAATGAGTTGATGACGAGGCCTTTTTAGAAAACAGCTCAAAGTACTCTGATTGTTTGACATTTAATAGACGAGTTATTTCCCCCTGAACTGATATAAGTGTTGGACATTTATTCTCTTAAGCAATCTAAATTAACACTTTTGCCATTTTGCTGACACAAGACTCTAAGACTGATGCATTGACTGTGTATTTGTGTGCTCTTCCAGGAGAGAAGCCATTTGCATGTGACATGTGTGATATGAGGTTTATTCAGCGCTACCACCTTGAGAGACACAAGCGCGTTCACAGTGGGGAGAAGCCTTATCAGTGCGAAAGGTGCCAGCAGGTAGGTCTGACCGAACAGGAAGCAAAGCCTTTTCAAACCCATTGATATATGACTAATGATGATAATGCATCTCATCTATAGTTCCCTTTCTTACTTGTAATTTACAATGGGTAAAAATGGGGAAAGCAATTACAATGGATAAAACAGAAGAGATTTAAATAAACATCTACAAAAGTGAACCAAAAGTTTCGCTAAAGAGAAATGTCACAAGCCTTTATTAACAGTCGGTCTAATCTAGTTTATTCATTTTTATGATCAAAAAAAAAAGCTGAACAACAATCCGTCCCCCCATTACATAACTAGGGAATTAGAGGAAAAGAAATAATTAAGTCTCAACAGTTATTTAAAAAATATGGCTTCATAAATCATAAGGCTTAAGACTTCAGAGAAAAAAAAATCTAATTATAAATGAAACTTGCACAACATATCTTATGCATCAAAAACAAACGTGCACAGTTATGCAAAAGAAATTACGGGACCAACGAGGGTTGGAATTGATTTTTATAAAAACACAATTTTCAGTAAGTCCACACTTTTGAAACTTGATAGACTTTGGAAACATACACATTTTTTAACTTTAAATGAGTTTTGAACAAGTTTTGTGCTGTGTGTTAGTGGAAGATAAATGCATCTAATATTTCCCTTTTCTGTCTCTCGAAGAACTTTTCACGCACAGACCGTCTGCTGCGACATCGGCGGTTGTGCCAGGGCCGCAGCGTAGCCAAAGTAGAGAACCAGCCATGCTGCGAACCACGCCCATATCAGCAGGAGCCCCCGCCTGCGCCGCCAACCTGGAGCCCCCTGCACCCACCTCCGGGACGGCTGGCTGTCTGACATTACGCCTTCCCGGGATCCATAACTACAGCGGAGATGGGACAAGCCGCAGGGTTTCCTCCTCTCGGCTCTGTGCAGAGTGGCGCCACATTCTAGCGCAGACCGCTCTCTCAGCTCCAGTCCTGGGATTATCAATGACAGTGGGGCAATTTTTTTTTGTTGTTTTTTTTTTATTTGCATTTCACTGTGTTCCCTTTTCTTCCCTGTTTTTTTTTTTTTTTTTTATTTGAAATGATACTCTTTTCTGTGATGAACAGTGGTCAATGGTCCTGTTTTGTACATTTTTGTTCCCAAGAAAAAAAAAAAGGTTTTTATTGTTCAAACAAACTGCATTTGGTGGTACTCCTCGGGAAGGGAACTGGATATCGTTTGTCCTAATGTTTTTGCAAGAAAAAAAAAAAAAGACAAAAATGGTGGAAAAATACTATCGGAGTAACTTGGTATTTTTATTTTTGTTCCTCTTAAATGGCCCATTTTGCCTCAAAAGAATCGTCACTCAGGTTTAATCGGTAAAACTGAGTTTTCCCTCCAGGTCGAGCGTGGAACCTCCGCGTCATTGGGACCACAGTTTGCCTTTCGGTGCTGTTTTTACTGGAAGCATCGACTGGCACCGTCAGTGTCTTGACACACTAAATCCTGTTGACTCGATCAGCAGGGAAGGCCCAGTTTTAATCGGTGTAAATAATTGAAAATGTATATTAATCTAGATTGGACTTGAGTGTTGTCTTTTCATGCGTGAAATGGGCCAAAATAAGAGTGAAATTGGAGTTCAGATACAGTCTGTCGGCGCAGTCGAGTCCTGAGGGAAGCTGTTTGTCTAACAATGTTTGTAAACCAGATCAATTTTTTTGTGTCGACTCGCGAGTTTCAGAGGACAGCAGTGTAACAGTACTTCTTCCACAATTACTGTCCAGTCACCTGTGTGTGTATATATACTGAGATCTCCAGTGCTGTGTCAGAAAAATGTCTCTCCCAGAGTTTGGGTGGAAACCGGTGCAGGTCGGCCTCCTCGAGTCTCACTGTTTGTACAGCTCGTCACATTGTGAGATTAGCAGCAGTATACAGAATATTGTGGCCTTAGTATGTTTATTAATTTTGTTTGTTGCCTTTTATTTTCTGCTGTGTTTTAGGCTGTGGCTCAGATACATTTACCAGCCTTTCTTTTTTCTTTTGTTTCAAAATGACTTAAGCTCTCAGTTGTTGAATGCTGAAAGCTTCGGAAAACAGACTTCATCTTTCTGATGGAAATTTTAGGTCATTATACCTACTAATTTTGTAACATGGCACACTGTCCTGAAGGTAGTGCTCAGCGGTTTTTAACAAATTGCTTCTTTTTTGTTTTTTCCAGCTATGTGACCGGTGTGTAAATGTTTATCATGTCATTGGTTTTAGCCTTAAGTTTGAAATACATGAGTTGTTGTACTAAATGCCGCCGTAATAACTTTATTCTGTGCATCATGAACTATGGAGGGAATCTTTTCAAGCGGCCAATCAGCTGCTGGTCGTGTTGCTCAGCCCCCGCTGTTACCGAGCAGCTTCTGGCCCTGAAACGTCAGTGCAAGACAGAGAAACCTGTTCAACCTGTATTGTACCGATCTGGACGACATGCTGTTGAAGCCATTAACCAAATGTGGACGCTTTCTGCAGCCTCTGTATTTGCTTCAATGTGTCAGAATTGTAAGGAAATTGGGATGTTTTTTTTTTTTTTTTTTTTTTTTATAACGACAAAGTTGTGCAGCTGGTAAAGTGTGCACAGAGAACAGGTGCAGTTTGAAGTGAATTGATTTGGCTGAAATTATGGCAGAGAAAAAGAGCCAGGTTTAAAGAAATGCAGTGATTTGGTTTGGAAACACTATTCCCAGCCTGTTGGAAGGACTCCACTGGCGTGTGCACATATTAAAAAAAAAAAAAAAAAAAAAAAAACGCAAAAGGGCAATACAGTATGTAGATGTTGCTTGTTAATATTTGTCATTTATTGTTTTTAGTATTATCTTTTCCATCATTAAACGCAATAGAATCCTTCCATCTCAGATCTCTTTATGAGATTTTGTTTTTCAAAGGAAGGGTCAGAGCGCATCACATTTTTATGCTTGTTTTAAGGACCTTTTTTTTTATTATTCAGATGAAATTGTACACTGGAATGAAATGGAAAAACATGGAAATTTGATTTCTTTTTTTTTTAAATTCCTTTCAGTCTGTGTTAGATATTAGGCTTTGACAAGTTTGTTTTCTCTTTGACACAAGGCGAACAGAAAGATTTGGATCAGTACAGTTGGGAGCCCAGTATGTTCTGTAATTTTGACATAATATGATGTAGTATCACAGGAAAATGTTTGCTTTTCTTATACAAAGTCCCTGGTATTTGTAGTAAATTATATTGATAATGGTATTAGATGAACAACAGCATAACAGTAGCTATCACAGATTAGTTGTTTTTCTTTATTAGTCTTGCATGCAGAGTTACGGTCCTCAGTTAAGATAGGATCTCTATTGATTATTTTGTGTAGGAAAAAGTGCATAAGAATAACTTCCTAAAAAAATTTACAATTAATTATTGTAAAAATGGGCTAACTAATATGTACCCTTGTGATCCAATTAGTTTCAGCTGTATGAAAACCAGAGGAGAGGCTTCTTACTATTATGCTAAAATAAAGAATTTGTAAAGGACTTGCTGTTTTTTATTATTATTATTAATGAAACTGAAAGTCAAATGTGCCAAAGTATATATGATCCCTGTTTTTACACCGGTATGAAGATGTAGAAGTCTAATCTTCAAAGGGTTCCTATGCAGTCTTGAATTCCTGGATAAATAAGAAGGCGCATGGGAAATAGAAAATGCTGTATTTTGTTTTTGTATTCTCGGGGTGATTCACTGTTGGTATGACATCGTAACGTTCACCTGTCAAACTCCAGTGTTTGAGGCCAGATATTAGATTTTTCTGATCCAACACACCTCAATCAAATGGCTGAATCACCTCCACAGCCTGCAGCCTGGTTCTAATGACCTCATTATTTTTATTTAAATGTATTTAAGCAGAAACGTGTTCAAGTTAGAGGAGAGTCTCTAATTGTCGGCGGGTTTTTCTGTACTGAAATACTTTTACATGCTGCCAACCCAGGGCTGCCTGCAAAAGAACAAAAGCAGTAAAGTTGGTGGGCTGAGAAAGACGACTGTAATTACACAAATAATCCTGAAGATGGCAGCAACACATTCTGTGTAAAACGCAGCATCAGAGGAAGAAACTGCTGCGACTCTTTGTGTTCTGCTTTTACGCTGTGATCCATGAAAACAACTTAATGCGCCTTTTTAGTTGGACAATCAGCGACTTACTCAAATATGTCGGACGGCGGCACGTCTGGGAATGAACCGGGGCTCCCAGATTCACAGAACCGGGCCTCTGAGCCCGGAGACGGGACCCCGTCCTCCAGGTTCCTGCGGGCGGAGCAGGAGCTGAACGCCCTCCTCCGGGGGCTCACCTTCGGGGAGCCCGTCCGCTACATCTACAACCCGCTGGAGTACGCCTGGGACACCCACTGCTGCTACGTGGAGAAGTACTGCCAGCCCGGGAAGACGGTCCTGTTTCTGGGGATGAATCCCGGACCTTTCGGCATGGCGCAGACCGGGGTGGGCATTTAACCTTCTCTGCGAAACTGTTGCACCAAACTTCAAAGTGTTTTATTGGAGTTATATATATAAATATATATATATATATATATATATATATATATATATATATATATATATATATATATATATATATATAGAATTTCACAAATTCAAAAGTGTGGTGTGCATTTGTGTTCACCTCCCAAAAACTTTGATCCCCAAAATAAAATACAATTTAAGCAATTCACTTCAGAAGCTTACTAATCAGTGAATAGGCTTTTTGGGTGCATAATGCGCTGTTCACATCTGAAAATTTGAAGAGTATGGTACAGTTGCTAGGTGAGAGGCCAGCTAAGGAGCAGTGGCGGAGCTAGACTTTTTTTCAAGGGGTGGCCAAAGGGTGAGCAAAAGGGGGGGTCAGAGGGGTCCATGTACAAATGGACCGTTCCATGGAACGAAAGGAAAAAATATTTGTTTCCTTTTGATCAAAATTAATTAATATAACTAGTCAGGTTATAATTCAAAGCTTTCATATGACATAGCCTACTTACATTTCAGTCATCATAAAACTTAATGGTTTTTCACATATTCTTAAAACACACATTTCAAGCAAGAGCTGGGAGATATAAAACATTAGAGGGCAGCATGTCACTAAAACATGTGTTAAAATAATCTGTCTAAAACACGATCTATCAGCACTAGCATGGTACACAACCATTTTTTTCTTTTTAGAAATGTATGACAAGTGTCGCCTCTCATTAGGAAGGTAACAGCGGTTACTGCTGAGCGGTAAAATGTAAATACCTGCAAAACTCCTTGACGGTGTAACTCTAGAGCCTTTGATGTGTTTTGGATCAAGCAGGACCCACATGTCAGTTTAACCAATGAACAGCGTCGGGCATCGGGCTGCCTTCAGGGACAGTCGGAAATTACAGTTTTCCTGGCAAATCTTTGCCGATCTCATAAGTATTATATTTTAAAATAACCATTTCCAGAGGGGTGGCAGTAGGGGTGGCCAGGGCCACCCCTACTGCCACCCCTCTGGCTCCGCCACTGCTAAGGAGCCTAAATCAGAGAAACAGGCCCACGAAAACTGGAAGAGCTGCAGAGACCCACAGCTTGTCTGGCAGGGCTTGTTGACAGAACGACTAATATTTTCTCACCAATCTGGTCTTTATAGAAGAGAATTGGCAAGTGCCATATTTGGAAAAAAGCCAAAAGCCCTGTTTTGTCACATGCAATATAAAATAACAGCAAACACATGGAACACATGCGGACGGTGTTGGGGTCAGATTAGACCAAAGTGGAAGTTTTTGTCTTGCATGCAAAGTCTGTGTCTGGAGGAAAAAATAACTGTAATTTCAACTATTTGTTGAAATTGCCACTTTGTTGTGACAGTATGAGACAGGTAATTTGCCACAAACAACCAGTTAGAGCCAGTTGGAAGGCGTTAGCGCTGTCCATCACAGTCTCCTATGGTGCTGCTCATCCTACCTCCCGTTCTCCCCATTTGCTATGCTGCAGCTAGCATAGCCTGTTGTGAATGCTCAGCCTAGTTAGCATGGCCACCGATGAAGGCACAAAGGGTTTTTCTGTAATGGTAAGCCATCAACACATTTAGCGAAGGTTGATTGCCAGCGCTAAGGCCCTCCCCCTGATTCTGATTGGTTGTTTTTGGTTGGAGCGGTACATTTTTTCAGATGGAAATAGCAATGCAGGGAGAATGTGGAGGAGATTGATCTTATCACAGATAATGTCTCGTAATACTCTGTCAAAACATCGTGACAGTTTAACAAATATGTGAAAAAATGTTTGTTTTTGTTTTAAATAAAAGTTACATGCTGCACCGTTAAGGTTCAGTGTGAGTGACGTGTTTCTGTCTGACTCAGGTCCCGTTCGGTGAGGTGAAGTCAGTCGTTGATTGGCTGAAGATCTCGGGTGAGGTCGGTCGCCCTGCTGAGGAGCATCCAAAGAGACGGATCCTGGGCCTCGGCTGCACGCAGAGCGAAGTGAGCGGCGCTCGCTTTTGGGGCTTCTTCAGAAAGCTGTGCGGCGAGCCCGAGCAGTTCTTCCGCCACTGCTTCGTTCACAACCTGTGCCCGCTGATCTTCATGAGCGCCAGCGGGAAGAACTTGACGCCGCCGGAGCTGCCTGCAACGGAGCGAGAGAAACTGCTGTCCCTGTGTGACGCGGCGCTCTGCAAAGTGGTCAAGTTGCTGGGCGTCTCCATGGTGATCGGCGTGGGGAAGGTTGCGGAGCAACGGGCGCGGCGGGCGCTGTCTGCCGAGGGCGTAGTGAATGTGCGAGTCGAGGGCGTCATGCACCCGTCGCCCAGGAACCCGCTGGCCAACAAGGGCTGGGAGGAGGTGGCTAGAGCCAAGCTGGCGGACCTGGGTGTCCTTCCTCTGCTGAGTAGCAGCTAACGAGCTGCAGGTCCGATCTGATGGTTCATCAGGAGGTGAAGAGCTGCTCCATATTCAGCTTGTTATACCGTCTCTGACCTTCCTCTTTGACCTTCGTGTGGAGAAATCTTAACGCGCGTCTACAGAGCGAGCATGTCTGCATGAAGTGCATTAAATATTCATCCTCAGAACTACAAAACATCACTATTTCTGTTTCTTCGTGCCCACATCTGAGAAGGGAGTTTGGTCTCGTTATGCTGAACTTTATGCAGGACTCATGCAGCCTGGAAGGGTATGGCATTTTATTTCTGAATGTGGGTAAATTGGTATGAAAATAAGAGTAAACAAAAGCATCGGTATTTCCAGACTTGGTTTATAACCCCAGGGTCTAAAAGTGTCAGCCTGCCTTCCTTCCTTGTCTTGCTACCTTTCTGGTGCAGCTACTTCTTTCCTTTTTTGTGTCCTTCCTATCTTCCTTACATCATTCTACCTTTGTCTCATACTTCGGCTTCTTTGATTGTGTCTTTCATTTGTTCCTACATTTGTTCTTTCGTTATCCCTGCTGTCCTCATTTTCTTTCCTTTCTTCCTCTCATTCCTTGCATCCTTCCTTTCTTTCTTTTGCTCTTTGTGCCCCGTCTTCCTTCCTTCCATGTTTATGACTTTGCTGCTTTGTGTTTTGTAGAAATTTGAGTCGCTCCATTATGCGTAGGGACACAAGCTCTCCATCTGAAGTTTGCCAGTGAACATCTGAATGATTGAGAGTGCATTAAATATTAATTCTCAAAACAGAACCTGTTCTGGTCAGATGAGACCAAAATCCAGTTCTCTGTGACGGAGCCCAAACGTACTGCCGGGGCACAATTCAGCGGGGAATCAAACCTTTATTTCTTCCATATACCTGAAGTTCAGGACACTCTGTTCCCCTTTTATGTGGTAATAAAAATGACAACAAATGAGTAGAAATAAATCATCAATTAGGCTTTAGTTTCAACCAGGTGGTTTATCAACAGATTAAAATGTTATCCACAATGAGTCACTAAATGACTCAGTTAGCACTCCTGACAAACTACTAAAATGGCACCGAAATGTGACGCTGGTGACATCTAATATCTACATATACTGCATTATATGCTGTTGAGAGAAATGTTGCACATGTGAGACGCAATTCTTTTATATTTTCTGTTTATCTTTTTTGTTATATTTAGTTTGTTTTTATCACGTATTGGTTGTTTTCCTCAGGTCTGTTTCAGGGTTCTGTGTCTTTCAGGGTTTTTGCTACTAAAATAAAAACACTCTTGTCTACAAATTAATGCTAAATCCTTTCTTAATATTTTGTTTGCTGAAAAATAGAAAAATCAATGTAAAAAAATTCTATTCTGACCTGTGATTCAGCATGTTCTTTTTACACTTAGTATACACATTTTCGCAGAATGTAAAACAAGCGCCACCCTAGTTTGAAAATATTTCTAACAGGAAGGCTGAAAAGTGGTTTATTTTGTCTTTTTGAAGAACTGCCCTGCCTTGAAGCTTGTTGAAGATTAAATTTGTTTCATCATCAAAAATGAAACATTTATTGCCAATTTGAAGTCCATGCATAAATGGTAGGAGTCTAAAATATGTTTTATTTGCTTGCCTTCTTTGTCTCTAATTTTGGTCATATCTTGGAGCGCCGCTGCACTGCCATCTAGCGTCCAACGTGGAAACAACATGTCATCAAAGTCACAGGATATAAATATACTAAGCAGCCTACAGCTTGCCCTGAACATGAAACTTAAAAATAATTACTTTGCTTAAACAGCAAACATTTTCTATATATACATATATAAAAAAATAAGGTTCACATGACTTTATCTATTTTTGTCCCTTGTTGTTGGTATCATTTACATGGTGTGACAGTAACCTCTGATTATTGCAACACGTCCAAACTACAAGTAGCACATGCTCAGAATATGTTTTCTTTTCTGGGAGTTGAAGTCTTCAGAGCGACTTTGCCCCCTTACCAGTGATGCACTCACTACATCTCCCACAATCCCTTCTGTGTCTGAGATGTTTATCTGGACTCCACATGGTCCAGGGGATGTTGTGAAACTCCTGCACCTGACAGAATTGCTCATCACTTTCTCCAGACTGATCAGATCTCTCACGAGGAGCTGAAGGCAGGCGCACATTTCTCAAGAGATTAAGGTCTGATTCATTGTTCATTATCAACATTTTTTAAATAAACATTTAAGTTTTTAAAATGTGTAGATCTAAACTAAGCAAGTGTGACATAATTTTAATTGTTTTGAATTGAAATTGCCATTTATTTCCTCTGAAACTTTGCTCAAACAAATTTAATAGCGTTTTTTTTTTTCAGTGTTAGAAAGATTAGATTACTTTTAATTATGATTAAGTAAAATACTTTTAAGATAACCCATTCCAAAATTTCCATTATTCCTATTATTTTCTCTTGGAGTATTTAATATGACTTGCAGGTTTTGCTTTAACTAAACTCTAACAGGCCGTGTGTGTGTGTGTGCGTGGGCGCGTGTGTGTGTGTGTGTGTGCGTGTGTGTGTGTGTGTGTGTGTGTGTGTGAGCTCCTTGCTTGCTATGAGCACAAAGTTGCATTCCTGAGCTCAGCTATTACCTTTCATCAGCTGTTCTCATCCAGAGGGAAACTGGAGCTCATCAAACCAGACCCATGTGTGTTTTCTTCCTCAACAGCAGAGCTTCCTGTCACTGATGGATAAACAGCCGGCGGTGGTGTTTCGAAATGTGGGGCAGTTGTACTTCCCCCAAACCAGGGTGGAGTGCCATTACAGTCTGACATCAGAGCATGGGTGGAGCAGCGGTGACTGGATAGGGATTTTTCAGGTATAATAACCCACGTTAGCATACATTTTTAACCCTTGAATGAATGAGGCAAAGAATCTGCTGTTTTATGGGTTGTGATGTGTCTCCTGTGTGGTAGATGGGCTGGTCTTCAGTCAAACAGTATTACACCTACACTTGGGCTCTGGTTCCTGAGGGCTACACGGAGGGAACCAGCGTCGACCACTGTGCCGTTTTCCAGGGTACCAATTAAATTTACGAATTACTTACAGCACGTCTCACCACGCTCAGCAACAATATAATCAGACTCTAAATCTGTATCCATGACTCATTAGTTATGGATACTGACTCACCAGAGTCATGGATACAGTGCTGCATTCATAAAGCACTTTAAAAACAACACAGTTGACCAAAGTGCAATAAAAACAACTCAAATATAACAACAATGACTGTAAAAATGAACACTTCAATTTGAGCTTAAAATGAGCTTTAAGAGAAGATTCAGTCATATCAACAACAGATTTAGACTCACCTTTGACAGATTTTTATTGATAGTCCTTTCACTTTGTTTTGTTATCATTTTAAAGACACCTGCCTCCAACAAAAATGATCAATAATGTGCCTATATCTAGGGTTTAATTGCAACTCTTTACAAAAAAAAAAGAGTAGTTTCTCAATATTCATGTCTCTCTATCATAATTGATACATTAAGCTTCAACATCATTTTGCGTTTTCATAGAGAATAATATATTTTCAAAGATATTTACTATGGTTACCGCAAGTTTTTAACTTCGTAAAAGACGCACATCCTTTAGAAATTATGCATTTGGCGTTGCAGGGTTTAGATATCCAGATTCCTGCCACTGTAACCCATCTAAAATAAAAAAACTGCTTCTGTACTTAATATTATATTTATTTTATGAGCCAATGCGAGTACAGTGAAGCATTGAAAATGCCTTCTCTTATAGCACCAAAAAAATGAATCAGGCAATATTGTTAGTTTTTTTGAAGCTTTGCACATTTTGATGCATTAAGCTTTTGTGGTCATGTTAGTATCATAAACTGCAGGGTGAATTTTGTGTGCATAAGAAACCACAAGGAATATTGAAATGATGCTTTGCATTTTAACAGAAATATGTAAACCATTTTAGATAAGTAGAACAAGTTTTCAAATACGTAGTTGTCTCAGGAATCCTCGCTGTTACAGGTTTTAAATGCTTTCCCATGGTTTTCAATACAAAAACCCAAAGAACTGAGATCAACTAAGAATATCCTGCTCAAGAGCTTTTTATCTATTAACTTGTTAATGTTCAGGTTGACCATATTTGAAACTATAAGTCTGAGTAAAGCTTGATATTTCTTCTGCAGCGTCGTACTTGCCTCGCCCCAGTGCTGTGGAGTACCAGTTTGTTTATGTGGATAAGGTGGGGAAGGTTTGTGCCCGCAGTCGTCCGTTCACGTTCTGCGCCCCGAAGCCGCTGGAGGAGCTGGAGACGCTGAAGGAAGAACGGGATGAGGAAGATGGAGAGGAAGAGGAGCTGATGCTGGTCATCCCCAGAGCGCAGCTGCTGCAGGTGAGGGAGGGGAAAGCCTAACATTCACTGTGACGATAACTCTTCCATGTTTACCTTTACCGTCACCAGAGTCGGCTCGAGCAGAGCCTCGACAATCAGGCGGCCTTGCAGCGAGCTCTGGATGAAGCCAAGAAGGAGGTGGAAACTGAAAAAGAAGCCGGCAAAAGAGCGAGGCTGGAGTGGGAGACGGAGAGGCAGACAATGAAGGAGGAGATCACTGAGCTCAGAGACAACCTGAGGCAGAGCTGTGAGATGCTGAAAAGGCTGGAAGAAAAACACACGGTAAGACGGGCTTGGACACCGGATCACATTCGTTTTGATCCACAAACTGAAACACACTGAACAGAAATCCCACAGCAATGAACACAGAGGTGTCCCCCAACACCATTTACATTTCCACATTGTGTCACATTACAACCACAAACCCAAATGTATTTCATTGACATTAAATGTGACGGGTCAAAACAAAGTTGTTCATAATTGTGAAGTGGAAGAAAATGCTCAATATATTAGCAAATATTTTAAAAAGTGTGGAGGACAGCAGGAACAGAAACTGTAGACAGAAAAGACTTCAATAAACTAATGATGTCTCTGGAGGAGCTGCAGAGAGCAGCTCAGCTCATTCTACAAGGACTGTCAGTCTGCTGGCTTTTATGGATGACCAACAAAATACAAACAAATATTTTTATTTCTCCACAAACTGGCAAGAAACAAAATAACCAAGTGGAAGAATTTGCTTTGTTTAAATCAGACTAAGATTGATTTTTTTGTTAGTTTTTGTTTTTTACTCTACATGCAAAATGCTTTGTGAAGTTGAAAACTAATATTTTGCATCATCTTGAACATAGCATCACACAAAACGTGGCCATGGCAGCGTCTAGCTGAGGAAATGATTCTTTTAAAAGAGACGCAGCGGTTTAAAAACCAAGCTGGAAGCTAAAACAAAAGTTTAAATCTGTGGTGAAACTTAAATTGAATTTCCGATCTGTTCTGACTAATATTAAGCGCAGAAAAAAGTTTCAGTCTTTTCAGGTCCAAATTTAGTATCTATGTTGCTCCTAAGATTTACTTTCGAGTCTAAAAAAATAACTTCTTCTTGTAAAGGAAATTTGGAAACCGTGCTTCAGTTTCCTCCCACTCCTCAGTGTTTGGAAAACTCTTTTCATCCGAAGCTTGCAGCTGTAATGTGACAACAGGTTTCCGAGTGATATTTTCTAAAACACTGTAATCAATCATGTCTTATGCTGGAAGGATGTGAAGTACAGTCAGGAAATCCAGAGGTCTGAACTGAGAAAACTTGTAGCTGAGAAGGGCGAGAACCAGCAGCAAGTCCAAGACCTGAGGGACGAGGTGAAGGTTCTGGCTGACAGAGAAGAGCAAGCAAACATGGAGCTGCAAAGGTAAGAGTCTGAAATATTTATGTGACTTCATCTTAGTAACTGCATCTAAAGCTAACTTTGCTTGGTTTTCACAGGTTGAAGGAGAGAGTGAAGAAAATGTCCTCCCAGATGAAACATGATGAGGAAAAAAGGAAATCCCTGCAGGTATGAAACTCTGATGGCAGCTTAGTCACAAAGTTACGTTTTACTTTTACTTCACTAATTTCATTGTGAAGAATCGCGACTCTTACTTGAGTAAAACCTCTGGACACACTGTGAGAAACACTGAATGAAGAAAAAACTTGCTTTAACAAACAAAAAAAAAAAAATCACCAGATACAAACTAATTAATTTGGAAAATGTTCATTTGCTTGATTTTGTTATTTAGTAATGATGATATTTCTATAAATGATTTTCACTTTGGTCTTTAAAATACCAAAATTTTCACATAACTTTATATTTTAACCTGATGTTTTGATCAGTTACTCGGTACTTAATTCTTTTTTACTCTTGAGTCATTTCTTGGATGACTGTTTTTTACGGTTACTCGAATAAAAAATTGTTGAAGCTACTCCTACTTATGCACAGTTTTTGGGTGCTCCACCCGCCCTCTGCACCTCTGACACCTCTGTGTCAGGTTCTGTGTTTTTCTGTGTTTAATTCTGAGTTTCTGTGTCCTGAGTTCTCCTCGTTGTCCTGTCTTCCCCTTGATTGTTCCCAGGTGTGTCTTGTTCTCCTGATTACCCTCAGTGTATTTAGTCTGCCGTTGTGTGTTTAGCCGCCTGTATGACCAGTTGCTACCGGCGTTGAGCCCTGGCTTCCGCTCAGCCGTGCTGCCTGGCCGCGGACTCTGTTGACTGTGTTTTTGTGGATTATTTTCATTAAATTACTCACCATTCACCTACCTGGGTCTCCAGCGTCTGCCTCACCACCTCCACCACCACCATTTTGTGACACTCTGAGTCTTCATCTCTGCCCCAGGTGGAAGTGGAGGCCTCGGCTGCAGAGCTGCGCAGCCTGCAGGAGCAGCTGGAAGCCAGCGACCATGCAGCCGAAGGCCTGCACAACGAGCTGCGAGACCTGACCGCCCAACGCAACCGCACTCACGCTGAGCTGCACCAAGTCCGCCTCCAGGTGGCGCAGTTCACCCTGCAGCTGTCAGACCAGGACCTGGCCCTCAGGGAGGAGCGGGCCACCTGGGCCCTGGAGAGAGAGGCTTACAGGCACGCAGCAGAGGTGAAGATCCAGCAGGACCTGCTGCAGGGCATGCGTGAGACATATGTGGAGCCAAACTTATTCTCAATCCTATTTTTATCTTTTTTGTGCAGATTGATAAGAAGAAAGTCCAGGATCTGAGCTGTGAGCTTCAGAGGAAGGAGGAGTGGCTCCAGGAGGAGAGGTCTGAACGAGACAACCTGGAGGCAGAGCTCGGGAGAGAAAAAGTGAGCAACCAAAACACAACAAAAGTAAAAGCATCGACACACCATCAGCTCAAAACATGATGGGCGTTGCTCGGTTGCTCAGAGTGTGTTTCGGAGAAGCGTGCCAGAGTTCGGCGCAGTTCTTTTCTCACACGCACGCTGGCAACCAGAGCGAACAGTTCCCAACATGTGATCGGCGGGACACATGTCAGATGTCACAGGTTGTGAGGTTGCTGTTCCCCCCTGCAGGCGCTGCTGAGCGACGCCAAGCGAGAGCTGCAGGAGCTGAAAGCCGCTCTGAGGAAGGTCCAGAAAGGGAGAGAGCAGGAGCTGCTGCACAAGCAGGCAAGGCTTCAACGCCACAAGCAACTCTGGGTTCCTTATGAAACTTCTTTCATTGTCATCGTTTTGCTTGAAGGCATTATTCTAAAAGTCATAGAGAAACATGATTCCCCAGCTTCATCTCCAGATGAAGTGCATCTTCTGCTGATCTGATGCCCAGCTTGTAGACTGTGTAGCTAAATGTGTCACTTTTAGTAAATAAAATCATTTTTAGTTTAGTAAATAAATACATCTTTTTTGAAACTAAAATGTTACCAATTTGTGTTTTCAAGTCCAGGTGTTCAACTGATTCACAGTGTTAGATTTTCAAAGTAGAAACCTGACAAACATATAATCTCTATTCGCAATGCACAGATAGTCATTTACTATCAAACATGAAATATGATCAGCAAAAGTTTAGCTTCATACAGTTTGGGACGAATGAGCCCGTTTTTAATTTGAAATAAATTTGCTGCACACATGTTCCAGTTGACACTTTGTAAATGCTTTCAACTGAGTTGAATATCTGAGTTAAAATAGTCGTCTAAAACCAAATCTCTCTTCACCTGGGGTTATAAACATGAAATAGAGCTAACCAAGAGTTATCTGCCATTTAATTGAAATGAAATAAAATCTGCATTTATTTCAAACATGCAAAATGTCACAAAAAAAAAAAAATTAAGAATGAAGCAGAATAATTTCAGAGGTTTGCAAAAGGTTCTACATGCTGTTTTTGTTGTGAGTGTGTGTGTTTTTCTCCACTTACTTACAGAGATATTATTCTAATCTTTTTTGTCTCACCCTGATAATCCGTTTGCCTGAAACCTTCCAGGATTTGGTGACGTGCATTCGGCAGCTGGAGATGAAGCTGGGCATCGGGGAAGAAACGAACCCAAACAACACAGAGGTTAAATGTATCTGTGAGTATGGAAAAGGATTTTCATGAACCGGACCGGTGACTTTATTCTAAGGAGGCTTAAAATCAGGAACATTTTGAAACAGCTCCAGGTTCTTCATCTTTGAACGGGGATTTCGCTCCATCAGCTGCTCCCAGATCTGCTTCTTCATCTTTCTGCCCGGAGGAAAGCTCCACCTCTGAGATCCCAGTCGAGACTCTGAGCCGAAGCGAAGGTGACGAGTCGCCCGTTGACTCACAGGTACGTCCGCCTGCCTGCTCAGGCCTAAACCAAACAACCATTAATAGCGCCTGCATTAGGGATCGACCCACTCTGAGTGGGCAAACATTAGATTGTTGTCTCAAGAGATTCCTGCAGCTCTGCTGTGTCATGAGTGTTTGCTCCAGTTTCATTGTTGAACATCCGGGTTCATGTTTGCTGCAGAAACAGGCCGGGGCAAGACGATCTGTCTGCAGGGATGGCGTGAATAAATTAGACGAAAGCAAACTGTGTGTGATAAGAAAAGTCATAAAATAACCAAAAATTACCTTAATAACTAGCCTGTTAATATTCAAATGTAAATCATGTATTTGCATTGTAGATTACAGTTTTAAATTAGTAACCATGCAAGGTAAATGCTACTTTATGTGTTTGGATTATTTTGTTTTTACTGCCAAGGCTGCCTCCCTCTTTGTGTTGTCTTATGCTAAAGCAAATTAACTAAACAAAGTCCAAGCTTCAGGAAAGAACATCATATCGTTGGAATGTCACCATTAATTTTATTATCTGCAGCACTGTTGAAGAGGAGGAGAGAAATAAAAATAGGCTACCTAATAATAAAAGTGTTTCTGTTTTTCCTTCATATGCTGCAGCACAGCTGGCTGCTATGTTAAATTAAAAAGTAGCACGTTAAATTATAACGAGAAATCACTTCAGAATTGATTTCTGTATTTGACATGCAGAAATAATTTCTAGTTTTCAATGTAGCACATAAAAGTCATATTTCCCTGGAAGCCGGTAAATCCGACCCTGGAAATGCTGGTCGGCATCACAGGCTCTGACTCGAGTCTTTTTCTTTTCGTCTGTGAAATCAGGATGAAAGATCTCAGCTCAGCAAACCCCAAACCGGCGAAGCGAAGCAGCTGATCCTGCCTGAACTCGCCGACCCCGTCCTGAGGTGAGGAGAGTCCAGCCACACCGAGCACCGCTCCGAATATCCTCTCTTACACAATCTTTCCTCAGAGGCTGTGTCGCCGAAACACATCAGAGTGGACATGTCCTCCGTGCTCACGAGAACTTTTCATCCCCCTATCGTGATTATACATGTCATGTCTAATCTGCGGCCTTTGGTTTGTTTGAACCACTCCTTTTCAAGAGCAAATGATGCATTCAGCTCGAATGATTAAAAAGAAAAAAACAAACAAGAAATGGCAGCACAAGTTTTGATCAATAACACAGAGTCAAACATATGCACACAGCCCACTTTGCACCTGATCTACCTGCTTTTTGCAGCCATCAGTAATCTGCCACCATATTTATTCCTGGATATTTAACAGGAACCTTTTTCAGCTACATGCCACGTTATAATGTTATTCCTTCATCCAAAACAGACCTGGAGTGTTGCTTTGTTTCTCTTGAGGTGGAGTGTTGGAAAAAGTAGGAATGTCTCTAAACAGACAGAGGCCCAATTTCAGTGCATCAAGTTGCAAAGTCGACATATGCAGCATTTTTATAAAAAACGAAGGTGACATAGTGACTTGATTGTGCTACAAAATAGCACCATCCACCTGAAAAATACCTAACACTGCCTTTTTAACTGGTTCATGACAGTTTTGAAGAGTTAAATTGAGTTCATGAGTCCATGACCTCTCACCAAGTCGAGGTCAGAACCCTCCAGGAGCCTGTGTTGTTCAATCCGTCATCAGTTTTGATGTGTGTTTTGGATCGATGTCCTGTTGGAACACAGGTTTCAATTACGCGACTCCAACTGTCGGATTGAAATTGGATGTAATGTTTATGAACAACCACCAAGCTCAGACCCGAGCCTATCATAACATACGTTACTGTCCCCACTGGCGCCGGCCGAACATCACCACGGACCGAGAGGCCGCAGACATGAAGCTCTGCTTCAACACTCTGAAGCTTGAGTTAAGCTTGCAGCTGCTGGCATGGACGAGGCAAATGCCTTCTGGAGGAAAGTTTTATGGTCAGAGAAGAGAAAGGTTGAGTGATTAGGCCACAAAGACAAGAGTCAGGGTGAGATTTCTAAACGTAGGAATAATGTAGCAGTTGTCAGACATGGTGGTGGCAGCATTATGCTGAGGGTTTGTTTTTCTGTCGGTTATACTGATGCACTTCACAAAGAAGAAGAAATAATGAATGAGGATTACCTATAAACTAAACTTCTCCTAAAATCTTCAACTAGAGGGCTGAAATGTGGACGATGGACCTAAACTGGACTTTTAATGGGTAAAACAGGTTAACTGATCTGATCCCTGATTTCTGATTCTTGGAAATGTGCTGGGCTGTGTTTAAAAGCCAAGTACATGCCTGGAAACCAAGCAGGCATAATGAGCTGCAGCATTTCTAATGAGAAGAGTTGACGCAGCCAGGCTGGAAAAACTGTGCAGTCGATTTTCCTTCCAAGGAACATTTCACCAGTCCGTCATCAGAGACATTAAATACACATTAAAAACAACACAAGCTCTAAATAGCTGTGTTTGTACTCAACTAAATCATCAAAAGCCCTAAATTATTGCGAAGCTGCTGCCCAAGGTGACGGAGGTGCACCACAAATTAAAACAGCAATTGATTTAAAGTCAGCTGCAAACATAAAAAACCTTTGTTTTCTACTACGATGTTGTTTGATTGCATGTTCTGTGAAACTTTCATCTGTTTTCTCTGCAGTGAGCTGGCTGACTCCCCAATGTGGTAACAGAACAAGGAGCAAGCAGCTTTGGCGCCACTAATGTTTATTTGAATCCAAGCTAAACAAAGAGCATTTAGTTAGCTTTTGTTTCTTATATTTGTGAAAATGCACTTTAATTTTTCTTTTTTTTTTGTTCCTGAGTGGTCAATCATGTTATAGGAAATATTTCTCGTGTTAAGTGCGAACCTCGACTCAGGTTACACGGATTTTAGTACTTGTAATTCAATCCTCTGTGTTCCAGCCTTTAACCTTGCCGTAATGTGAATATGTGGCAAATGTGAGAAATACGCCGTTGGCCTGACTTTCATACTCTACGTGTTGTTCTGGTGCTACTTTGGCCCCTGGGTTTTGCATGAGAGCACGACTCCTAAAACCGTGTCAGATGTGTGGGCGTGCGATCGCTGTCAAGTGTGAAACGTTCTGCTTCAGCTCTCCAAGCACCGAGTCAGGCCGGAGGAACATGAATGCCTGTCTGCAGCGCCGCAGCGTCGGGAAACTGCTGTTCAGGGCTCCTAGTGAAACGCTCGCCAGTGTTGTTCGGTTTCTGTGATTTATTGACATGATACTAACAGAAAAAAAAGATCCTGATCATGAAAATGATACACAGACATCTGCATGATGGAGGTCTTCACTTGACTGGAGTTAAAGCTGTTATTATTATTATCATTATCATTATTGCAGGGGAATATTCTCACTTTAAAAAGCCTTTATTTAAGTATAGGTAGTCAGTGTGAAAAAGTGTGGTGGACACAATTCAATTTACTGAGAGAACAAGTTATAACATTGGGCCAGGTTGGCACATTTATTTCTCATTTTATTCTGTTATAGAGCTACTGTGTAAAATCACCTAAAAGCTGTAAAAGCAGTTAACAGTTAATGAGCTTATTGTTAAAAAGTTCATTAGCGATGTTGTTTAAAAACTGCTCTTTTTGAAATACTGTAAAAACAGTTCAGGTCAGTTAGCTTTATTTTACTAAAATACCTCTTTATAAAAAAACTGTAAAAACAATAAACTTAGCTTCATGTTTTGTTTATTGTTTTGTTTTAAACTGTAAAAATAATTATATTAAATTGGCTTTATTTTTTTAAAAACCTTGTTTTTTGAAATACTCCAAAAACAGTTAACTTTAATTTGCTTTTTTTTCCCAAGTAGCTCTTAATAAAACACAGTAAAAACAATTAACTTAGCTTTATTTATTTTTTTATTTTATTTTTGAAAAACAATTAACCTTAACTTTTTTTTTAATGCTCCATTTTCTTTAATTTTTAGGCTGAAGTGGCCTAGTTAAAGCCACTATGGAGGCTCTTAGGAGCCACTTGTGGGTCTGGAGCCGCAGGTTGCTGACCTCTGCTTTAGTCCATTGTCCTGGTTCTTCTGTCTTTCTTCTTTTCAGCTTTTCTAAAGGATTCAGGTCTGGAGACTGAGATGTTATCCTACCCTATGTTTTGAGTTAGTATCCTGCTGAAATAACCCATTTGTTTCTTTTAACTGAACTACTAGAAATCAACAACTAGATACAAGCAGCAATTTTTAACCTATATAAAAATGCCCTCAGATTATTATTTTAACGTGAGATAATGTTACTGCAATAAAAGTGAATAAAATGAAAACAGTTTTCAAGGATCCTTTTCAGTGGTGACCACAAATGTGTCCATGTCTGTAAATGTTTGTTGGGGAAAAAAAAAAAGTTGAGACAACTGGACACCATAATGTCTGAGAACAAAAAAAAATGCTTTTATCAAAATACAGGAAACATCATAAAACATTTAATAGTAAGCATAAAAAAGCAAACATAGTTTCAGCCTCTCGTAGAAATGTAACCAGAGCATTTCAACACAGTTTTTGAACTTGTTTGTAGCTGTGTGCAATAGTCAGAGACATAATTTGGTTTCTCAGATATAAGAAGACACATGATGAACGTCGCTCCCTGAACACGTAGACAACATGCCTGGAATAAAATATGAAAGACATTCATCAGCAACAACAAAATGTTAGAGAGATGAGATTTATCCAGCTTCATCATGTAAAAAAAACCCAAAAAGTAAAATCTTGCCCAACACAAAGTGACTTATCTGTCTTTGGTCTTTCATTGTTACATATTGATGCCTATAATATTGCTGGCTTGAGAGTTTGGCAACAACCTCTGTGGTTAATTTATTGCACCGCCTCAAATTCAAGATAATTAATAACATCAGAAACAAAGCATTTACTTTAAAATGAATAAACTTTGAATGATCTGAAAAGATCGTGAGAAGTGTAATTTCGGCTGGTGCTATGCAGTTACTATGTCACAATGTGTGTGGGTGTGTGTGTGTGTGTGTAGGTGTGTGTGTGTGTGTGTGTGAGAGAGCAACGTTTAGATCCAACAAGAACCAATACACCTTAATAAATGAAAATCCTGACAACCTTAGTTTTGCCTTTCTGATGGCTATTAATCTGATTATAAATATGAAAAACTTCAATACTTTTGGCACTCAACACAAGTTTTTCATTTGATCAGTTTTTATTCTATTATCAAAGAACTGTAATATTTTATTTCACTAAAATATCACCCTGTGCTTCAGGAGGACACCCATTCACTGCTGATGCTGGATGAGCATTTTTTTAACAATCGTTCCAATCAATTAATCTTTGAGACGAGGCTTTTGACTCTTAATAAATTCTTCAGTAATGTTTTCTAACTTGTAACCAGAGCCTCATGGGATATTTCATTCGTCTCTGATGTCGAGCTTTGGAACAATTTGACTCCAAAGTTGAACACTCCAGTCGAAAGTCAGATAATCTGTGGGATTAATTAATACAACGCATTTTTCTCTGTTTTACACATTAAACACTAAAGTAACACATGATAGTTTGTACAACATTATGTGCAGTACTGGTTTACTTAGATGCAAATTGTCAGAAGTACTAATTGATATTTTCTATCTGTGACTTTTAAAATATTTTATAGAAACAACCCAAAACTGTTGACTTTCCCAATTCTGAGTCGATTTAAAGATGACATATTTATCAACAATCAGCCAGCTTTTAAATTTTCTCTAAAGACTTTTGGACATCAAATTAAAAATTAAAGTCCTTCATAATAAAATGTAGCTTTAGAAGGTCATTAACTTAAAACATCCTAAGTCTATGTGGGTCAGTGATGGCTCTCCAGATCAAAACCCACTTTGGACAACTTTGGACCGGCTCTGCATGCATCCAGTGTGTTCGGGGTAAACCGATCATACTCCATATTCAATTTAGAATAAATTTTTTTGAGAGCTTCATCTATTAAATTTATTTTTAAACATGGAATGTGTGTAAATATGGAAAACTACTATATTTGGCATTATTTTCAGATGTTTGTTTCTTTTTATCCCATCTGCGCTTTCGAGCTTGAATTGTTGAAAATGGCAGACACACACACGCACACACACTACCTCCTGAGTATATTTGTTTTAATATTCGTTTAAATATCTTTGCTTGCAATATCACAAGTTCTTTTTTGACTTTATGTGGCTGGGATTTTTAGTTTTGCAGAAACTGTTACACAGAAAAGTGAGACAGAATCAACCTGAGAGTGAAGGACGACCCCTCTGAAGATTTAAAGATTTTAATAAGGGGTCAGAAATATTAATATAGATTTATAAAAAGGATGAGAGATATGTCTTGTGTTTGCATTTTTTTTCCTATTTGGCACCAGAGTTAAAACACCAGTTTTCTTATCGTCCTCTCTCAAATAATTTCATGACTGAAAACTTATTGTGATTTCTCTGAGTTTGAGTCCTGCTCATGACTCCCTTGTCTCTCTTTCACACTTTTAAATGCTTTTGTCCAAAAAAAAGCAGAAATGAAAATGGTTAAAGTTCAAACTTCACATGCATCGAGTCAAATGAGAGTAAAAAAAATATACCAAACAAAAGAAGAGGCAAACAGACGTAAAGGTAACATGCTCAGGAAAAGGACGTACACAGAAAAACAAATAAGTTGCATAATCTCTGAGAAGTAATTCTGAGAAGACATTCGTGGCACATGAACACCATGTAGAGCTCAGCTGCTGCAATCAACCACTTTATACAAAGCATAGCCCTTAAGAGACAGAAGATGAGCTCCTTTTCTTCCTCCCAGCAATCCTTGCTGCTCTGGGTTGAACTCAGGGACATTTTTTTTGCAAAGTCACATCGATATTTTAATGGTGCCCTCATTCATCCACTGAAATGTAGTGCTTTTTCTCTTTGTTTAGTTGCTTCCTATTCTGAATTGAAAACAGTTTTCTTAAAGTCAGTATGTACAGCTGATCACAATGTCATTAACGAGCCTAAACGTGTGAGGTGGTGTTGCTCTGTGCGGCTCAGCGGTCTCTCAGACAGGAAGCGGCCTTCCTTTCTCACTGCGTCTTTCCCGCCACGGCCTTCTTCTGTGCCGCCTCCCCCCAGGGCTCCCCGTCGCTGTCCGCCCCCCACTCCTTCTCCTCGTCCCAGTAGTCGTCCTCCTCCTCCTCCTCTTCCTCCTCGAAGGCCGATTCGTACGTGGACTTCTCCTCCTGCTTGATGGCCTGGATGGCTGGGGGAGGGGCCGAGGCGCTGTCGGTGGAGTCGCTGCTGTCCTCGAAGGCTTCCGGGTTCTCCAGCATCTCCCTAATCAGAGGCGGCATGGGTCCCGGGATCTCCGTCTTCAGGGTGATGGCTCGCTCTGCACCTGCGGGCGGGCAGAGAGGCGCAACGTCAAAACGACATGTTCTCCTTGCAGAGGAAACAAGCGGACCTAAGCCGTGCAGATGCACACAGTGCTTTGCAAATGGACAAACTTTGATTTCATTCAGATTTTTAGACATTTTACACAGAGTAAAACTAAAAGAAGTTGCTCACAAGTGAAATCTGAAAAGTGTGGCATGCATTTGCATTCAAAGCCAAAGAGTTGATGGGGAAGGCAGATGGAGCTGAGCGCAGAGCCCTGCTTAACTTGCATATGTTACAGAAAGACTGCAAATGACTTCTAATTGCTTTTCAGTCCCAACATATAACATATAAAGTGATACAATATAACAAAACCTTATAAAAGTGACCTATTATGTTTCTTGAATAATTTAGGATAGGTCTATAAAGTATACAAAACATCTTATTTACATTTTTTGGAGAAAATTATTAGTTAATGAGATTGTTTGGTCAATTCTGCCTATTTTGAGCTCCTTTCAGAATGAGGTGTCTCAGGGCATCTTGTTACCTTAAATCAAAACAAGCTGCTGCTGGTCACGCCACCAACTCAACGTTTGCACTCGTACATGAAAAATGCCTACAAACAGATGTGCAATCATACAATCGCACATCTTTGAAAAGCAGACGTGGAGCTTCCTGCACAACCAACAAGAATGAAACGAGTGGTTTCAGGATGGTAAGTCAACTACAAAAACTTTGTCTTTTCCAGCAGCCATTGCACAGCAGTAAAACCAGATGACCAAACTCAGCTTGAGTTGCTCGGTGACAGGCTGTGCTTCGCTGGGGTTGCTACTTTGGCTGTTTTTAGAAGCCGTTGAAACCCAAATGGAAGTATAAAAACATTAAAAAAATAGGAATTTTTCATAATATCTCCTCTTTAAGATTACAACCGGGAGAGGAAGACTGGCGTTTTGATCACCTGAAAAAAATTCTTACGGTTTTATAATAAAAAAACAAAACGCCCTAACCCTTGGTGCTGATTCCTCGCAGGTCTGTGACTTTCATCAGCATGCGAGGGAACATGTGAGGCTTGTTTGGGCGTCTGCGGCGAGTGTAGATCTTTAGAGCCTCCAACAGCGGCTCCTGGAGTTTGTCGACCTTCTCCGGCTCTTCCAAGTCCATGCGGTCTGTTGAGGGGCAAAGAGGAAACAATATTAACCTCACAAACAGCTGACAAGAAGACATACACAAAATGAGACGCTTTATAGCCTCCGTGAAGCCTTACCTCCACAAATGAGACAGATTGCGCTCAGGAGCCCCGTCTCTGTGTCGTCCATCTCCAGAGGCAGGAGCTGACCGGCGAAGGCAAACACCAGGTCTGTGAGCGGCCCAAAGCCGGCGTTGTGCATCTGGGTCCTGTTGAGAGTCAGGCCGTCTGAGAACGTCATTGTGTCCTGCTCTGGAGTGTAGCGGGTGCATATCCTCAGCATCTGCACAAGGGAAGGAAAAACATTACAGAACTCAGGGAAAAGAAAACTGCACAGTTTAAAAAATGTAATATTTGCTTTGTCTCAGGAAGTGAAGCAGCGTGATGAATGAGAAAGCCTTGGGAAGGTGGAGGGTTGGTTAACCAGGAGAGGGCTAATACCAGTATGTCCAGACATGCAGATTTGAGGAGGGTGATCTGGTCAGCGATGGTGAGCGTAGTGAAGCCTGGTAGTCGCTTGGCAAACTCCACAATCTTTATAATGCACTTAGTGGAAAGCTCACTGAACTTATCCCACAGGCCCAGGTCCAGCTGCACTCTGTGGTCAGCACTGGAGTTCTGGGAGAGAGAAACAGGGACACTTTTTGTCTTTACAGAGCCGGCTCTGTGGTTTGTCTTTCCTGGAAAGCAGCTAGCCTCGGTGCAGAGTGATGCTTGACACTCCGCCGTGCGTGGAAGTCAAAAAACTCACTGTGGTGTATTTTCCCAGCTGGCACAGAGACGGGAATGTCTCTTGGTGAGCTTTGCTGACTTTGTTCACAAGCTCCTCCAGTTCTCCGCTGAGCTCGTAGTTCTCGGGCAGCACCACCTCCTCCTTCACGTCCTTCTTCTTCTTGTTCCGGTCGTTGCGCACGGCTGAAGGTTGAAGAAAATCCGGTTACTACAGGATGTTTGGCTGTGATTTCGGAAATTTGTGATCGCAACAACTCGCAGGCCCACTCCACACTTATTGGCCGTCCTAATAAAGTTTAAAATAAGTTTTGAATTACAGTCTAAGTCAGCTTAAAAAGGTTAGATATAAATTAATTAACAGGAAGAGTTGCTTTCCAGCCCACAGACCTTCTTTGGACATGCCGACCTCAAAGCACTTCTGCAGCCTACAGTATTGGCAGCGGTTGCGGGTCACTTTATTAATCTGACAGTTCTTGTCTCGATGGCAGGTGTACACCATGTTCTTCTGGATGCTCCGGCGGAAAAATCCCTAAAAAAGCAGAAAAGACTCTGATTTATGTCCTTGGTCTAAGTTTCCAGAACAGACAGAAACAGGACAGCTTCTAAAATGTTTCCACTTTAGCTGACATAGAGGTAGAATATAATATAATTACCGTGTCTTTCAAAGTGTTGGTGCCTCTCAATGTCTTTTATTGCATTTTAACATGATAGACTGACACAAAGTCCACAATTCTGGAAAGTAAGTAAATATTACAAACCTGAAAAGTGTGGTGTGCATTTTTATTTGGCCACCCTGATTAAATACTTTATTGAATCATCAATAACTTTTGGTTTACTGCTTTTAGAGACAAACGTTTTTGCCCATCCTATCTTGAGACTGGCTAAAACATGTGTGTTTGTGAACATCAGTCTCTGAGTCAAGTTCTCCTGGTCAAATTAGAGACAGGTTTGGACTTTGACTGGGCCATTCTGACACAGGAATATGCTTTGATTTAAACTTTTACATTGCAGCCTGAAATGTAAGTTTATGGCTGCTGATTTGCTGGAGCATGAACCTCCACACCAGTCTTAGGATTTAATGCATCCTAACAGGGTTTCTCCTGGGATTTTCAGGTATTTAGCTCAATCCATCCTCCCATTAATCTGCTCAGTTTAATTTCCACTACTGAACTGCTGGAGTTTTATTCTGGTTATGAGTGAAAAGAGATACACATAAATTCTCCTCTTCCTTTTCAAACCTTTTATTGTTCAATAAATTTTGGCAACGATGCATAGCTTTTCCTTTCTCCGAAATGTCATGCACTGCTTTGAGTTGGTCTATGACAGGAAATCCTAAACAAAGGTCTTGCATATGTACATGCTGCAGATAAATTATCAAAGAGATCATGTTTTTAGGATTTCAATCACTTTTAAACAGCTGCAATCTGTTTTTGTTAACATTTAAATGCCGTTGGGTTTCACTTTCATGGAAGTAGTCTGATATTTTTTAAAGTTGACATTTAAATTACAGCTTCACATTTATCTGGTATTTAAAATTGGACTGGGAAACGCCGAGCTTCCAGACGATGCTGCGTGCCTGTGCAGTGGCAGTGGCTACACACCAGGGGGCAGCAGCAAGCACACAGCTGCACTCTTCACACATCTGTTTGGCTCTCGGAGAGAATCAGGCTCCCACTCTGGGTTTCTTTTAAACTGACCTCAGCTGTTCAGCTTCTTCTTTCTCTCTCTCTCTCTCTCTCTCTCTTTTTTTTTTTTTTTTTTTACACATGTCCTGTAAACTCTGCATGTACCTCTGGCTTCTTTTACCTTGCAGCCCTCACAGGAGCTCACTCCGTAGTGATAACCAGATGACTTGTCCTGGCACACAAAGCACGGCTTGTAGACCCGGGGAGGAGGAGGAGGGGAAGGGGAGCTGGGCACCATCTCCTCTGAACTGGTGCTCTGCGTCTCCACCGCTGCAGGGCAAGAAAATGAAAAAATAAATACAAAAAGGGGGGAAGAAAGGTCATTTATTATAAGAATGCATCTTGTTTGCATTAATCCTAAGAGTCTTTGAAATGATGATGAAAGCAAATGCAGCAGCTGATTAGGAGAGAGTGGTCAACAAACAACCCCCATCCTTCCTCGGGCCACCCTGTGGAGCCAGAAGGGAACAAGCTCAAAAGCAGACATTTTTAAGAGAAAAGGGAGGAGGGCGGTGGGGGGCTCTGCTGATTGACAGGGACTTAAAAGAGACACAATTAGCTGATGGCCAGATGGCCCTGCTGATAAAATGCTGATTGGCAGCTGAGCTTTGATTGGCTTCACCATTTATTGGAGAGCAGGAGGAGCGGTGGGACACCTCTGCTGACTTTTTGACTCAAATGTGAAAATTTTGCACGTGTGTGTTTGTGTGCATGCTCATATTGCTTTGTTTTCCTTTTCTTTTCTGTTGTTTTATTTGGAAGAGCCATCCGACCGGACCTGCCCGTCTCCCTGAAGCCCCATGTGAACAAACAGAGGTGGGATGTTTACGAGACCTCGCTGTCTCCCTCCGTCCCCTCGCACTGTCTCGCTAAGGAAAATTTCACACTGTAGAACAGCATATTTTTTGGCAGAGGCCTTCCACTGCTCCTAGTGAAAACGATTCAAGACAAACAATGTTTAATGGTTGTAGTAAAGTTCATCCAGCTGTGGTTTCTTGCACTTAAATGAAAATACAGCAGAAAACCTGAGGAAAAACTGCAGCGACCCAACTATCTATTTACAGAACAGAGTTGCACTGAGACCAGGAAAGGGTCATTTTATGCTTGACAGCAAATAAAAACACTTCTCTGTGCTGATGATGTTAGTGAGGGAAGATCACTCAATTTGCTTTTTTTTTTAGCATTAGTGATGTGCACTTTTAAATTACTTTGCAGGAATTACTAAACGTGTTTCAAGAGAGGTAAGACAACGTGAGTGTTAAAGCTGAGAGTATTATTGTAAAGTTGCTATTTAATTATTTTAAAAACCTTTATTTTGTCATAGCAGAGGTTACTGTGCTGATCATGCTAAAGATTGATGATAAAAGATGCTGAAGAGAGTTTAAAACGTCAACTCTTCAATCATTTCGTTGTTTCTCTTAAATATGAGCAAAGTCCAGTTTATCTGCAGAGCTGGGTAACAGTGTCAGCTCTCCAAACTCCAACTTCTATGTAAGCCTGGGCTGTTTTTAAGGAGTAATTGTTTTCTAATACTTCAAACATCTTATTGTTGAAATACGTGAATGTCAAAAGCACGAGAGGAATCAATGAAAATGAGCATAAGCAGATCAGAACTTCAGAAAATCTGGGATTGGAAATCTACCACAAAATCTCCGATCAAATGTGCCTTTCAACTTTCACCTTCAGTCACCCCAACTTCACCTCTCGGAGCCCACGCCTGCCCCCACCCCTCTGTTTCCTGGCCCTAAATTCCTCAGTGCAGCCTGGACGGGGTTTAATAGTTGCCCAGGCTCATAACCAGCCCTATAAAGGTTGTGTCTCGGATGGGAAGGGGGCCCCGGCCAGGGTGACGGCCTCTTTATTGGGATCCAGTCACCTTGGGCCGCTATTCACATCAACAGCTCCCTCCTTGGTACACTTCCTAGTAAAAATAAAGAATCTGGGGGTCAAATACCCCAAAGTCACAGCCCCTCCTGTCACCTTCAATGGACAGCACAGGACTGAACCAAATGTGGCCCTCACCCCACGGCAGCAACCCCAACCTGAACCCCCAGCTCGTCATTAACAAGAGTGGTAAGGTTTCAAACCCAGAGAGGGACAAAGGAATTATCTAATAAAAACAGAGAGGGGAAAAATGAAAAGAGAGAGAAAGGGAAAGCAGGAGGTGAGGCAGAGGACAGAAACTTCTCAGTGGACGGGAGGTTAAATAAAACCTTGACTATTTAACTTTGACCTTGACTTCGAAGGCCGCTGCTAATGATCAACAGCCTCCTATAAACTTCCCCAATATGTGCAAATAATAAAAAAAAAGGACAAATCAACACCAGCCTGGCAGCAGCTAATGTAAATTAACTAATTCCCAGTCGAACACTTTTGGATGCCGAATATATCCGAGCTGTGAAGAATGAGGCGGACCGAGAAGTCAGTGAGCTTTCAACACGGCCGCTGCATTCCACAACAAACCCGCTATCTGCGAAAAATAATCCCTGTAACATAGTAAGTTGTTTTTAAATTGGTGGCTGGAGGTATTTTGTAAGCCTCCAACTGATTTTGACAAAGAAATCTGCAAGTTTGTACATGAGTCTCCGGGATGAATGCTTCCCTCTCCGGGATTCTTCTTCTACAACAGGAAACCAAAACACACCGAGCGGGATCACAGCTCATTAGCAGCTATTCATCTCTCTGAGACACATCTGCATAATTTAGGGATTTTCTGTTGGTTTTAAGGCTCAAAGAGACCTTTGCAAATATTACTGTCAGGATTAATTTATTCAAGTTCAATTTGGATTTTCAGCTCCTCCAGCAACATTTGAATTTGAGGGTAGGTTATTTAATCATTTCTTTCCTATTTAAGAACCACAGGTGCAGACCATACTGTCCCGTCTGGATGAAACGTTTACATTTTGACTCATCTGGTGTGCTCTGCAAAGCAAAAAGCTGACATAAAAAGTCTCCTGATTACATACTGTTTGCAGTGATGAGCAGTGCAGTGAGTTCATTTCAAGCAACACCTGGATTGTGATAAAAGACGCAGCTTCCTGCACACTGAGTGGTACCGCAGCAGATGAGGGAGACGGCTAAAAATAAATGAAGCTGCATGGTATTAGACAAAAAATAGATATACACAGAAAAAAGAAAATAGCACTTTTAGAGTAAATTTACACAGTGGTGGGAAAATCTTGCTTTTTCAAATAATTAATTTTAAGAAAATAAACAAATCTAACAATTCCTTTAATAACAATGAATCACACACAAATATTTTTTTTTTCCATTCTTAATGCGTAGCGCTTCAGTTTTTGTTAAATATCTAACACTTTCATATCTTGTCATGCAGCTCTATACTATCTGATAATCTTCATCGGCAGAGAGATCCTTTCTCTTTCCCATATTGCTTGAAACCTGTGGCTTGCTTAATAATGTGGAACATCCTTCTTAAGTCGATTTCCTTTAATTGAGCTCACCAGACAAACTAATCAGATCTCTGAAATTAATTGTAGTGATCCAAGGAGCCCTGACACACATGGTATAACCTTTATAGGGCTGGTTATACCATCTATAAATTTAATAGCACAACAAAAAATGTAATCTTTATGGCACTTAAATCCAATTTGCATAATAATTTGGGACACGAAGTACATTCAGAGCAGCAGAAGTTGTGACAAACAAAAATCTACTATGTTTGCTTTTAGAGAAGAAACCGCATATTGGGGTTTCCAAGTTTTCATAACAAACAAAAAACAAAGATTCCAGATGCTTTTAATAATGCAAGTAAAAGACACATACAAAGAAATCAAGGCATTGCTCCTAACATGAAAACATGGGTTAAAAAACTTGGACTGAGATAGGTATTAAAAGGCCGGCATCCTCTAAAAAAGGTTTTCAGTCGTCGGAGTTTTGACGAGGAAAATCGTCTCGGGTTGTGTCATGTCTCAGGCTTAGCTTGGTGCGAATGGTTTTGTGTTCAGGGGCACCGGGAGAGAGCGGAGGAGCGGCAGCAGGTGAGATGCACTGTAACCGGATCACTGGTTTCTGTTTATATAGTAACACTGACGGTGTAAACGCAGTCCTGCGAAATCCAGTGGAAAAAACAGCTCCTACTGAAACAGAGAAGCTGCATCTGGCGCCAGGAGAGAACGAGTGACTGACACTGTCTGAGCGTGGCGAGAAAAGAGAGAGAGAGAGAGAAGAGAAATGGGAGGATTTTACCTGGTGTGGAGAAAGAGGGCGAGGAGCCAAGAACTGTCGGCAGCTGTCATCACCCTGAACTGAGCTCAGCCTTGAAAACAACAACAAAAAAACCCTCTCTCTTCCTAACCTACAGCTCACCCCTCAGCGTGTCACTCCATCAGTCAGCACACAGAGGAGACAACGGGACTCGTGTGAATCCCCTCCATCAGCCAACTCCCACAAAGAGTTTCGTACGCAACAAAACTATAAATCTTCTCCGTCATGCAGCATATTTTTCTGTCTAAGCTTCATTTACTCACAGCTGCAACTAAAACATGTCATGAATACCGTGCAACATTCCTTCACTTCACTTCCACGCATCTATCTCTTTCCTCCGCCGTTTCCTCAGTGGCTGTTGTCGGATCAGCACATCCCTGTTTAGACAACAGAGGCCCCTCGGAAAGGAGACACCTTCCTTATCAGCTCACAGGACAGACAGTCACAGCCAAATCTGGACATTACTCATTTACAAAGTCTGCAAAGCAAAAATATCCCTTTATGCGTCAATTAATACAAGTTTAACTTCCAAAGCTGGGTTCCAACTTGTACCATTCTGCACTTTTGTTGATCAGATTGTCTTGTGACTTTTACTCTTTTTACTTCTTTTCCTCCTTTTGGCGTGAAACTCTTCGAAATGCCAAATAGAGGCGAACATGTAATTTCCTAAAGCCAACCTGGTTATGTTGATCTTCATAGTAAGTAAAGAGCAACAGGCCTAAAGCCTTGAGAACAATCTGAACGCAAAGTTACATTCATAACGTCATTTTGATAAAAAAATATTTCAACTTGTAGCCAACATTGGTACGCCACCAAGTCTCCATAGCAACCTTTAGATGCTGCCTGTGTGAAACTGTTCTCTGTCCTACCATCACAAATATAAGCATATGGAGTTAGCTGACATTCATTTGCTGAGCCTAAAATTGAGCTTTACTGCATGCCGGGCTGGTGTAAAACAGAAGTTGAAGGGTTCCTCGTGCCCACTGTTAAGTAGGGCAGAGAGTCTGTGATGCTCTGGGACTGTTTTTCTGCCAGAGGCTCTGACG